ATGGACGGCCATTCGTATTGCGTTGAGTGCCACAACAACTACACAGCTGTGGTCCCCGCCAGGGTGATCTTCAATTGGGACCTTCGGCAGCACGCAGTCGCTGACGCCAATAGAGACTGGCTCCTCAGTTGCATCGACGATCCCATGATTGATATCCGTGCCGCCAACCCTCGTCTCTACGAGCACGTCGAAGAGCTCGATAGACTACGGGTAATCAACATACTTTTTCTAATATTGTATTAAATATAATATTCTAATATACTCTAATATTAAGGAGATATCGGTGCTTTGTATATTATACCTCGAAAATCGCATCAGGAATTTAGGGAAATTCAAAAAGAGGAAATCTCGTTCAGAGTTACCTATGACTGTTGACTCTAAGATTGAGTTATGAATTGCTCGTTTTGATTCACTTAAAATTAGCAATAAAGCTCTAAGCTTCACTGTAAAGCGCTGTTTAAAATTATAATGCTCTGAAATTTCAATTAGAATCAAACTTTTTTTCTCTGCAGACTCTTCGAACGCAGCTGCTGTACTTGCGAGCTTACCTCTTTACCTGTTCATCTGAGAGCGAAGCTGCCGATACGCTCCGCAGCATGTTCAAGTCGAGAGAGCATTTCTACGAACACGTGCACCTCTACAGCGTTTCGGTGATGCCTAACTGCTTAACAGATACTTCATAGAGTAAACCCTGATGTTCAGTCTATGCTTTCTCTGGGCAAAATAGGCAATGTTCGGGGTTGCATCTTTAAATTTCATTGTGTGAAATTTAAAATTTCGTTTACTCCAGAAACTGTAACTAATATAGTGAACACTGGAAGATTGCGTTGAATGATGCAAGTAATGAAATTTTTGCTTAGATGATCTCTTGAACGGTTCCGGCTGCGGTTACTCTGGTGAGCCGACTTTCCGTGTTAGAACATCCAAGAATTGCAAATTGAATATCAATAAAAAAATTTGCTCACCGTGCTCCCAGAGATAAGTTAAGTTGTTAACTGACAAATTATAACTAATACGTAATATAATATAAACTAATATTCCTGATAACTAACGTGAGACTTATGTGCACAGGACTTATTGTTGGTAGCACGTGGTGGACTGTTGTTCGAAGTACAGGAGGCCGTTTGCTTCTCAGAACTACATGTCAGGGACTGCAAGCGTTGCACCGCTCGTGGATTTGTGTGTGAAGTATGCCGCTCTAATGACGTCATCTTCCCATTCCAGCTTCACATTGCCCAAACCGTGAGTAGCTATGGCTATAATTGACGATTTTTTTAACAAAATCGACAAATTTATCTGCCCAGCTTTCCCCGTGCATGAGTGAGCGACATATTTATACATTGTTTTGGTACCCCAAGTGTCCGGACTGCTGCGCCGTGTACCATCGCTCGTGCGCCCCGCGGCTCACCGACTGTCCACGCTGCGTGAGGCGACGACAGCGGCGCTTGAAAGAGCGAGACGATTTCGAAGAAGAAAATTATTCAGCACTGGACCACCTTGAGAACGAAAATCTACCAGTTGAAAAGAACGACCAACATGATATTGGAGAGAAATGCGATAATACGTTGACTTCTAAAGAATTAAAGAGTCAAGTACAGGCTCAAGAAGTTGAAAATTTTGATGTTAGTGCGGAACCATGTGATGTGGAAGAAGATGCAGATTCTATATACTCTGGCGTTTTGCACAGCTAAATGAGATCCTTGTTCATAGAATACCTGATTTTTTCAAGATTGTTTTGTACCCAACGCTCGTCTACAAGCCAAACCAATGATCACGGCGTCTGCAGCGGCGTCACATTATTTTTCAACGCGATTTTATAATTAAATAATTAATTAATCTTCTGAGATTGGCATTCATTTCATTAACTCGTGACGTGCACTGTTTGCTTAACTATTACGTTTCTCAAGCTCGTTACAGTATTTTCTCAAATTCCTACCTGCGTTCGTAATTTGCGATGATATTGCTATTTATTCCATGTTCGCTTAACACGTATGTGTGCTGTTTACAAAGAAAACAATATATGCGTGATGTTTTCTTTCACCGTCATCTAACGAGACTCGATTCTATGCCCGAGAACAGGCGTTCCTAAAGTGACTGAAAGAATTTGTACAATTTCAAATTAAGTTCTGCATTTTTTCGCATAACTCGTTGTCGAAAAGCGAGCTTTGAAAACAACTTTTGTGTGCCTTCAATGATGTGACTAGCTTCGTATGTAAATATTCTGTGGACGAAATGTTTTTTCAATAAGTTTGGATCATCGCATTTTCGTGAAATTTTATTGGACTTCAATTTGTCCTACTTCTCTGACGGGGAATCGAAATTTGTACTCCTCCTTACTTTTGGAATGAAAATATTCATATAACTGCACGAGCTTACTTGATCTATGAAACTCTGAGTCAAGTTTTTCGTTGGGTTTTTCCGATGTCAGCTAACCGTAATGCATAGATTCTTTTATGAATGCATCACTAAAATAATGATGCAAAGTGGAGGTGACGAAACTATGATGACCTCACATCAATATATGCTGTATTTCTGTGATTTATATTATATGGGAAACTAATGGAACGAGAAGTATTTCACTCTTCCATGTAAGCTTCGAAATAGTAATATTAGCCGCATCCTGCCATGTTGGAATGTTGAAGTTGTTACCCAAGTCGATGCCCTCTCGGAGAGAAAAAATACAAGAATAAGATTAAAAAATATTTTTGCTAGAAAAGTTGAATTAGATTTCGACCCTCTCACCAGGTTTTAAAGGAAATAATGTTTAATTTGGAAGATACCATCAAGCTCGTAACTGCTAGGTTCTATCAGAAAGCATTTCTTCCATTAACTAATCGTGCTTCTGTTTTAAGTAATTTCAAAGACGGTCGCCTGAGCATGAGCATCTAAGGGTAAGCGATGGCTTGGACAGCCATTGACTCGACGGCAATTTCGTCGGTGCCGCGTCTCATGAAGACGTAGCCGTCCACTCCCCAGGAGGTGCCCCACGAGTTCTGGATGATCCAGTACTTCTCGCCTTGCTTGTTCTGGCCGTAACCCACCAGCAGCACGGCATGGTTCGTCTCCTGCCGAGCATTTATTAGTATTTCAGGGACACTCGTTCCATGACAATAACGTACAGAAAAAAACGACATGATCTGCACCAAGATTTTCAGAAGTAAAGTTACGATGAAGAAAACTATATAAAATTTAGAGATGCTTCTCAGGACTATGAAACGAAAATTGCTGTGATTAAATTAATAATTCAAATAACAGAATATATAACCTCTAGACTGAAACAGTTACATACTAATTGCACCTGCTCGTGTGCTACATGTCGTACAGGCTAGTGGCCCACCTCCAGCGGATTGAATGCACTGGTGAGTCCCGTGTGGTGGTAGATGCCGCCGCTGTACTGCATGAAATCGTCCTGCACTTCGATGCCGACCGCCAGAGGGCCGTTCTCGACCAATGCCAACAACATCTCATCCTCATTGCAGGCTCCGAAGTATCCTGCAACATACGTTGAATTCCATCACGTGAGAAAGCGTAACATTTGTAATATTAAATTACAAGAAACTAATATAACAACTGCGTTAATTTGCGTTGTCGACTGAGTTTGAATTTTGTCATACCTCAGTGTCTTAAAAATTAAACTTGCTGCTGTTTTCTGGAGCAAATAGTTTTAATTACTTAACCGAGTGATGGACGCTGGCGGGACAAGAAGCTTGGCCATTTTGCGGCTTATGGAAAAGTTTTCATTTTATGTTAGAAGCAGGAAATGCGACAAATTTTACGACGTATTTACGTACTAACTTTATTACTACATTGTGAATATTGAAAATGCAATTGATTAGCCTATCATTATCTAGCATAGTAGTCACTACGGAATAAATCCTTATCCGATAAATTAAATTGAGTATATACGAATGAAAATTATATAACAATAAAAGACAACCTAATATAGTTACTGATATTATACATAAAAAATTGAAACTTCCGTGTTGTAGAAATTGCTGAGATAGCCATTGGGTCTGCGCATGGTTGAACTATATCAGGTTGACCCACGAGAAGTTTCGCCTGTCAGTTCAGCTTTCTTGTTACGTCACTGAGATCGATAAACGAACAATCCCGTCATTCCCATGACGGATTGGTCGACTGGTTTGAACGCATTTTGGTGATTGGCTAATGCCCGTGACGTCACTGAGATCAGTGACGTCACAGGCGAACAACGAACTACATCCGCAAAAATGGGCTTCTGATGGGTCAACCTTTTACTAGTTCACCGTGGGGTCTGCGCTATTACAACATTTAAAATGCACTTTTTACATTTTTATAGCGTGGTAGAGAGAATTTCACGTAAAATGATGGGAGATTATCAAGTATGAATTTAGATACTAGTAGCGTATTTCACCTCCAACGTATCTATATTCTGTAGTGTAGATCTTCCTGCAGCTGTCGCGCTTGTGGTCGCAGGCTCCTCCGACATTGTCATAAGGGATGCACTTCTCGCTCACGAGTCCCATGTCCTGGCCGTACCTGCACACAGCCCCGGGCGAAGTTAAAAGAAGTTTAGAAAATAAAATTCATAGTGGTGAAGTTTGGTCCTCACCCGCCTATATGGTCTTAAGCATAAATTTCAAAATGTATTTATAAAGGGGATTTTTTCGCGAGCAAACAAACATAGGCTGTCCCGAAGAATGAAATTATTACCCGAAAAGCAACAGTTTCCTTAAAATAGATCACGGAGAGGGCACGACATATTTCTGGGAGAGAACACTGCCATTTTGTTCCAGCGCCAGGCAAGGCACGAATCAGAGATGACTCGTATAAGCAATTTGAAACAATTTCTATCACAACAAACTGTCGATTTCCATACTTTATAAAAGTATCAGAAATATTTATAGGTACTCATGGCGGAATTTTATTCTCTGATTATGAAAGCTATCTAACTAAGCTGCACCTCAAGCAGACACTGTATTTAAAGTGCTGTGAACCGAATTACCTCCTAGATATCTCAGTGCACCAGAATATCATGACTTCAATTTTATAAAGAAAGTTGTCTGCTTATTGCAGAACATTGTTCCATGATTTTGATCACGAAACTGATACCATAAAGAAAAATAGCATTTCATGGCAGAGTGGCCCAGTGATTACAGTTCAGAGTACCATGATTAGCGCAGAGAGGTGTGGGTTCGAACCCAGCTCTGTGCGTCAGTTTCTGGTCAGAATCGGCAAGGAGGCCGGGCGGTTAAGCATAGCAGAATTGTACACACACTGAATGTGCAGAAGACACTGAATGTGCAGCAGAATTGTACACACTACACACACTGTGGATGTTCTGCGATGTTAAGAATTGGTGACAGGCCTACGGCCTACTAAACGCTGACACCGCTATTTTATTTCATTTGATCACCTGCCAGCAATGAGGTAGGGGAAGCCCCCATCGCAGCCCTGGGAGAGGCGGGAGCAGCCGACAATATCCTCGGCGCTGAGGTCGAGGTTCTCGCTGCCCTGACTCCTGAGCAAGAGCTGCGACTCGATCACTCCTATGCTGGCGAAGGCGTAGCATGACCCGCAGTTGCCTTGGTTCCTGGTGCCAGGAAAATGGTTTAAAATTGCCTTGAATAATGTATTTGTTTTTACTGCAATAAAGGAGAATATTATGTTGCATTACAGGTAGGCGCTGCCAGCGTGCCTGGAGACACGTATGTTCCTCACCAGGCTACTAAATCATTAAAGTGGTACTAGTGATTAAATCTAAGCTTCAAATCTAAGAAGCTAATCCATCTGGAAATTCGATCACATATATATAACTTTTGAGTGTCAATGAAAGGCGATGCAATAAAATTTCCAAAGAGAAGCCAACAATTATTGTATAATCAATGATTTAATCTAATTTTTGCCCAAAGCAAAGCGACTCACTTCACAGGCCTGACATAGTTTATACCGGAGACGTTGCGCCAGTCGAACGACTTTGGGAGCATGGAGACGCGCAGACGCGTCTCCATGGAGCTTTCATGGTTCCGCACCTTGCGGAGCGAATGCCGAACTCTGTATATGAATTGAATTTTTGATGCCATTTTATTGCTGTTTTGTGCAATGGAAGAATTACGGACTGTATTCCATTTTTTATGCAAGATATTTTTGTTGAATCAAGGGTTAAAGTGAAGAATCTGCAAGAAAATGCATGGGAAACACTTCTGCTTGAAGAAGAAAAATAATGACATAATGTGACTGCCAAAACACATTAACAATATCTACGCAACTAAAACTTACTAACAACAAAGAATCTACACTCACTTTTGACCACCTCTATACCGGAAAATCTGCGCCAGGCTCAGCCCCTCGAACTGCGGATAGAACTTGGCCGTCCAGTTCTGCTGGTGGCGGTTGATGGCGTCGATGAGGCGCGCGTCCTGCTTGTGTATGCGAGCCTCCAGCTGTAGGACAACGGTTATAAGATGTCAGCTGTAGGACAACGGTTATAA